AGAGTGCAAGCTTTGCCGGGTTGACTCTGACCGCCGGTTATTTATGATACGATTTTCCACGCGCCGTATAAAGAAGGGTAAAGTACAGAGTTGAACGAGACCCAGATAGCTATTAAACAACAACAAATTTAAAACACTATCCCTTCTGCCAAGAAAACACTGTAACTTCGACTAAACAATCCCGCTGGCAATTTAATTGACCCTCCCGTTGTTAACTCTCCTGTTGTTTACACGCATTCCCCAATCGAGAACTTTCTTTTTCCTTTCTTTTTTTTTTCTTTTACTTTCTTCTTTTCCTTTCCCTTGATAGGAAGATGAACGAGTGGAATAGTGATTGCTATATCAGTTATTTTTTATGGCCTTCCTGTGAAAATATATGTAAAAAAAGTTCGTTTATTTACATTCAAATCAATGACAAATTTCATTCGCGACAATGACAAGCAGATATAAGAGGAAGTTCTAGGGGCCATTTGTTTGATCGAATTCCTGGCATATTTTAAGCTTGCGTGAAATTTATGACCAGTTAAGCACTCGGAATGGCTATCGTGCATAAATTAACTTAGCGTGAAGAATAAGAAAATAATAATGATAATAATAATAATAATTTTAAAAAAAGAAAATTTGAAAGACGCATTCGTACTTTTAACCTCCGAAGGCCGCGAGCAATGATGCCTTCGCAAAGACCAAACGATCGAAAGAGTGTGAATTCATAAATTCCGTACCACTGTAGTGAATTTAGTGGCAGGATATATGGATTAAGCGAACGGAATAATTTCTACTGGTACCCTGAATAAAATATAATGAACCAATTAGGGGAAACAAGAATCTTCCTGGTACAAAATGTTGTGCGCGTCCTTATTTGACCTGCCATGTTTTTATTTGCCAAACCATTGGGTTGAAGAAGGCCACCTGTTTCTCGCACTGTGATTGGCCAGCGTTTGTTGACAAACTGATCAGCCCTACATTGGTTTACCTGTCACATGACACGGCCGTGAGTTATAAACATCGACTTCTCATGCGAAGATTTGCGGGCTTTCCTTGACGTAAATATGAGATAATCTTCCTGCGAAAGTGTTTTATTCCGAAAACGAAACGTTGACAAGATTAGAGTGTCCGGAGTGAAGTGTCATCTTAATTTTTTTCGCACAGAAAATGAAATTTTATCTTTGCTTGAGGTTTCTCCTATGGCCGATCGAGCACGGACTCATTTGCCATGAAGGGTGTTAAGCTTGTCGTGAAAGGACAAGGAGTAAGAGGTTAGGATGGCCTATTGTTGGTGTTAAAGAAGTGAAATATGAACGTTAAAGACGAAGACTTTACGAGAAGCGAGAAAATCAATTCTCTGGAGAAAAATGGCGGGCTTTCCCCGGGGAGCAAGCCCAAACCTGCGGGAGATAATTTCTTGGCAAAACCGGCGGACTGCGAAAGTCAGGCTTCATCGAACAAAGATTATCCGACGAATTCTACCTCGCTTAGTGGCCTGTTACGAAGGTTGCTAGGTTGCTTAAGGCCTGTGTGGACGATTCTAGGAAAGGCTTCCAAAGAACAGAAGTCAGACCCTTGGATAATTCCATTCGACGAAATAGCCGAATTAGAATGGTTGGGTTCGGGGGCGCAAGGTGCCGTGTTTCTGGGACAATATGGAGGCCAACAAGTTGCCGTGAAAAAAGTGCGTCGCGAAGCGGACACCGACATTAAACACTTGCGGAATATAAATCATCCCAACATTGTCAAATTCAGGTGAGAATATTTATTTGTTTCTTAGCTTTGATGTCAAAGAAACATTGTTGAATGGGAGGGCAGACATGACTGGTACCCAAGGCAGCTCAAGGTCATCATGAGAAATTAAATTGAAATTTAAGTCTTATTTTGTTTAGTTAGCTTCCGCCAGATGGTCTGTATATATGTTTTTACAATGTCACTAAATCTAACCCAGAAATTTCAAATCTAAGATAATTTAAAGAAATTAGTTTTTGAATTAGTGGGTTATAAGTTGTATAAATAAATAATGTTGATTGGTGCTGTACATGAAGTTTTCCTTGCGTTGATTGTTTCTTAATAAAGATGTGTAATCATTGAGTGATACAAACTCCCCTCCAAAAAATTCTCTGACCGGTGATGATCTAACTTTCACGACCCTCTACAAGCTGGTATGAAGCTCTTAGTACCACAAACTACCAGTCTATATGCATTGTTTACCACTTACATGGAGAAACCGGTTCATTGACGGTTGTGCAAATGGTAAGCAAAAATGCGTGATGGTAAGTTACATACATACATATAGACATACTTTATTTGGTCTCGGAGGTGAAAAAAAAAAAAAAATCTGTGCAGCCGTTGGCTGTTCCAGTTAGATTGGCCATTTACCATTTTCTCAGAAAAAAGACCATAAGAGACTAGGACGGGTTCAATCTCGAAGCTGGCAGTGAGGAATTGCAAATGGTAAGCACATTTCCCAGTTGGATGTTTTGGTTGGAAATTTTGGACTACCTTTCAAGACATTCCATTTATTTCGAAAATTTTATGGCCAATCAAGCCAAAATAATCTTACCATTGAATTTACATTTTGACCAAAATTTTCTGAAATTTTTGGTTAAATGGTTAACAACCCATATTATAGAAAACTAGTTCATGGAAGTTTAGCATACAATATGCCACGTTTGCTATATCAATATTCTAACATGACTCCGAGGCTTTCAAGTCAAAATTGCAAATTTTTGAAGTTTCTTTTGTCTCTCAATTTCCAAAGGAGACTTGGATACAAAGAAAACAACACCAGATATAGCAGTTTGTCCTGAAAGTCCCGGAGCCATGTTAGAATACTGATACACTGTATATCAAATGTGGCCTAATTTATCCCTTGTGATTTCAGAGGGATATGCAATCAAGCCCCAGTCCACTGTATTATCATGGAATTCTGCCCTAATGGTCAGCTGTATGAGGTTTTACGCAATGGCCGACAAATCACACCTTCCTTACTGATAAAGTGGTCAAAGCAGATTGCAGATGGCATGCACTATCTTCATCTTCACAAAATTATTCATAGGGATTTGAAGTCGCCTAAGTAAGTTGCTAAGAATGTGCTGTTTCAAAAAATATCCATACTCCCTCCCCTCACAGAAAGGATTGGAATTCCCCGGGGAGTGGGGGCTCTGTAAGACCAAAAAATTTAAAGAAATGTATGAAGCTTAATTATTGAAATTTCCAGTGGGAGGTGGGGGGCGTCAGGGGTTTTATTAAGGGCTGGGCACTGGGGAAATTGACCGGTGGTAAGGACAATTTTGCCTGCCTGGTTTGACCATCTAGAGGAAAGTTCTTCTTCTTCAAATAGTTTTGCCAGCCTGTGAAAACCAATTGTCCTCCTGCTGAAAACGTTAATGAAACCCCTTGGANCCCAAGGGAGGAATTTCTGGCCTTCGAAGGTTTGACAGTTCAAATGAGAGGTCACATCGACAGCTCATTGACTGCATCAGAGGGGGGGGGGGGGGTCTTGTAAAAAAAACCTATTCTATGGGAGAGGTATGGTTATTTCCTGGAACTATACAATTTAATGTGTATGTTTTAGGTCAGTTTGTTCTTTAGGTCAGAATGATTTCAACCTAGATGAATTTGCTTCGACCTAGGTTAAATTTTTCAAAGCAATTTATTATTATTATAATTATTATTTTTCACTTTTATTACGTTTGGGTAAATTGGGGGTCCTTAAATGGAATAACATGCACACTACTTACCCCCATCAGTTCCTACACCCTATCAGGATCCCATATCAACCCCCCCTCCCCAAACTTAACCCTGAACCCCCTTGATCTTTTTTCTATTTATTTTGTACTCACCCAGATTTGAACTACTGATCTCTGACTTTTGTAGTCCACTTTCATATCAACTAGACCAAGTGAGAAATTGTTGCAAATTTGCTCAAAGTTGTTGGTCTAAAAAGTTATTGGTCTGGAACTCCCCCTTCCCTGTTGACACCTTGGTTGAAATCTGGCCTAAAGAACAAGCTGACCTTCAACATGTTTACAAACAACTACAAGTAGTTCACTTTACCACTGTCCCTTCTCCCTTTCCACTGTTTAGAGAAATCTTGAAGAAACACAGAATTTTCTTAGCTTATAGGTAGATATTATAACAAATTATCAAAAAGTATGATTTATTAACGTCTTTGAAAAGGCAGAC